TGTATTTCACATCAAACAATATTGAAAAAGAAGTATAGAGCAAGCAGCAGATGTAACCATAAAAAGGTTAACATAATACTTGTATTGTGCCAAAAGGTGATTTTATTATTATTTTAATATTCTATAATATATATATATATGACATTAAGCTGGGATAAACATGAATTGCGCGCTGCTGAGCCTCGCTAGCTAGACACAATCGTAGCATGCTCTGCGACAACAGTGCGGCCGTGAACCAGTCTAAGCTAGAGCGCCAGACGCAATCTACAGAAAAGGGCAAGGCAGGTGACTGCCGTCGTCAGGGTTTGATTTTCAGGGGCAAGTACGGCAATTGATAGGAGCATCGACGGCATTGCCGTCGGTGCCGTCGGTTAATTCGAGCCCTGGTGTCTCTGCTGTAGCTTCTAGTACGATAGCGCCGCTACATTAACTGGGCCCGCTGTGGGGCTCGTAGTACTATAGCCCGCTTACGATTAACTGCCGCCAGCGGCAATGTTAATGTAAGTCGGGCATATAGTACTAGTAGCTAGCGGCTCAAGATAGAGAACATGGCGTCCCAATAAACCAATGTGTCCTAACCCTGAACCCTAACCCTTAATTGCCTAACGTGCCTAACCCTACCCTAATCCTGAGAACCTAACCATCAACCTGAACCTAGTATATTGATATAAATAATATATTTATATTGAGTAAATGCACATGGTTTTTATTGGTACGCCAGTACTCTATCCTTGACACCGGAGCTAGACAGTCCTGCAGCGGATATCTCGCGCAGAAGCCGCGGTCGCGCCACTGTGTGCGCCATATCATATAACTCGCTGCTCCCATTTTCGAACATTCTCCATGGTTATGTAAAGAACGGGGTGTTATGCGGTCAATTCAGGAGTTTGGCGCTTGGACAAATTTGGATTATGCAAGCGTAGGGCTGAGAAGAACTCCAATGGTCCGTAATGGAGCTTTTTTTGTTGGCGGCGTCGTTCTTTTTGTACAAAAATCCATTTTGAATTTGGTTTAACTTACACGCCGTCGAATTTATCGCGTACTAATGCGCATACCCATAGATGGGGCGACGAAGTCTCTCTTGAGGGATGTTCGAGAGAATGGCCACCAGAAAAAGGGCAATTTAGGCTAGACTCGCCCCGCCGTCGATTTTGTAGAACGTTTCGAAGTATTACAATAACTTTATGTGTACGTCGAGAGATACTTGGCGTCAATGAAGCGTGCCGGTACCAAGTCAAGTATGGACACACGAAAGCTGAACGATTTTTCGCTCATCGGGTTCCCGCAGCGCCCGGGCGAATGTTTTTGGGGCCGGGCAAGATTCAAGCCGGCGACGTATTACAGCACACACTAAATTGTTAGGACCGAGCCACACTACGGTCACCTAGAGACCGTGTACAAGATGGCGTTGCGCAAAAAGATGCGTTGTTTACCCGACCCCGCACTATACTACTCACTACTAGTACTAGAGTTAGTAGTACTACTAGTTACCAGACTACTATACGAGTACAGTAAATACCAGGACCGGCAGGAGCGTAAGTATAATAGCTAATAATGACTAACGATCTGTTACTAGTATTAACTAACTTAGCTAATAAGTGACGATACCTAGCTCTAAGTCCAACCTTACATTAACTGGGCCGCTGCGGTTTATCTGGCGGTCGACAGCGTGACCGTTCTGCCAGCGACAGTTAAATCGTAAGGCTATAGTCACTAGAAGTCTATACGAACCCTAACCCATAACCTACACCTATTATATTGATATAGATAGTTATATTAGCATCTGATGTAGAATGACGATTTGGTTTTATTGGCCATGCCATACATACATGGGGCCCCATATAATATTGGGAGCCATGTTCTCGTTATCCATTGACACCACTAGTATAACAGACTACTATACGACAGCAAGATCAAACGCACTCTTTGCTAGGGTTAGAAATACCCCTAGGCTATACTAGACACAGGCACTTGAAGCGTTTCAATAAAATAATAATGCAACTAAATACGACCAATCTATTTGTACTCACGAAATTTGTCCATCGTTTCTAGTATAGGTCCTACGTCCTCCCCAAGAAGTTTGGCGAAAAGGTGCAAAGGCTATAATATATGACTAGGGACTGCTCCCACCTCGATTACCATGACGGTGACTAAGCTAAGCCGAGCGGTGCGAGAGAAGTGCCAGTCCTAATGGCATAGGCGGCGGCAGCGCGGCGCACTGCTTCCACACTCCCGTTACGAGCCCGCCATTTGGGAAACGTTGCAAAAACACGTTGCAGCGTGGGGGCGCCGAGAGAGCGCCCGGTAGGTGTTTCGTGATTCTGACAGCACGTTTGGCATGACTGGGGCCCCCCGCAAGGTTGCGCAGAATGTCAGAATCTTCGGACAGTCTTTCTTGCTGATTTCGCGTCACACAGCTCGTTACGGAACAGATTACCGATTACAGTTTTGTATAGCAGTTTCAACAACGTTGACGCCCAAATGTCTACGCCTCTGTGTCCCCCACTAAAATGCGGACTGTTCGCGATGCAGCTATTGGATCCGTGCGCCCGGCTCAATTCATGTCGGCGCAACGGATCCATAGCTGCCAGCCGCTGCATTACGGTCGTAGGACGTTCCCGCGGTCCGTGCGCCTTGGCCCGGAACATGGCGCGAAAGATCGCGGCTTCAGCGCAATTGGGATTCAACATCGTTCCTTTCAGTGCAACGCTTCTCTAGATCTCCCGTCAATCACTGGCTCATGCCGTTGAGCGTTCCACCTCGGGGAGCTTACCTCGGCAACCTGTAGTGGCTTGTACCAAGGAGCTAAATATAACAGTTATATTTAGGCTCCTGGTCTGTACTACCGATACAGGCGAGGCTGTAGTACGCGTGTGCAAAGTTCACAACGATAACCATAGACTAAGAACAAACACAGATTTCTGTATTCTATATCTATGATCTATGATTCTAACCAAAAGTGCATAATCAATGTGCTTACCCGCTGGACTAACAATATACGTACTCTGATAAAAATCAACGAAGTGGTAAGTGGTAACGATTATGGGAGATTATGGTACAGCGTGAAACCGGAACTTCCGGTCTTCATATACGAGAGCGAGGCTTGTGAAAATAATTACTTCTGTTTGTGGGCGGCCAGAATATGAACGTGTAGCCGTTTCTCACGGCTGTTTTCATTTTTCTCTCTTGGCCATTTGACCAGTTAACAAAATCACACGTAGTTTACTCGACATACATGTTTTCTCATTGTGCTTTGTGAAAATGGCAGCGATTGCACGACGGTTTAACATACAAGATAGTGGACGTATGGAAGGTGAGAGAGCGTGACTCTTCTTGCCACTGCCGTCTGGTCTCTTTTGGCTTCACTTTACTCTGTTTTCTTGTAGTTGTACCATTGTTTGTAGCATTACAATCACCCTCACAGTAATACGGACTGGACTGTATCATGTATGTTGTATACTGTGACTGAAAGTAATATTCAAGTGGAACTCACATTTTGTAATAGCAATGCCAATGGAGACATTTTGCACTGCATGCTCTTCTCTCTGCATTCTCTTTCAATGGTTTACTCCTAATACTAGCAGAAGAGGAAGATGACAAAACGTCTGGAGTAACTGAAGTCAATGAAATACAGGAGCAACGAGTGATTTTCATTAATAAGGATCAACCTATCAGATTCTGTACAAATGAAATCAGGTAACCATATATCATATGCTGCTATTGTAATGATGATTGCAATACTTGGAATATTTCTAATGGTGATTGAACCATGAAACTTTTTATGTAGCGTAATTATAACCTAAATTAGCTGAAAATAACCCTAGAACCTAGAGTAAACTCTCCCTTTAATGATTGTTCATTGGTAAAAAAAAACATGAGGATCATGATGTAACTTGTAAGCTCTTTGTCATAATTGCAGTAACGAGGGGCTAAATGAGACGAGATAACACCATGCAGGCACAGCTAGTGTGTTAGCAAAAAGTTGAATAAGGGGTTGTTGTTTGATATCTAATGAGTCATCTGAATGATATCATTCATGAATTGCTAAATCTCAAATTTAAGAGGATTTTTATTGTTATTAAATGTACTTGCATCATTGGAGGTTCATGTAACCAAACTTCATTTACATACTATATGTCCATTGTGGTACCATACGTATTAAAGACACGAGGTATGTTTTATAACTTCCCACATTTTAAAAATATAATTTTTTATGAAGAGCAAATTTTCACTAGCCTATATAAGTTTACGAAATAACAACCAAGTCCCAATTTGTGCAGGTGGTTTGCATAAATTTGAACCTTTGTCACTTGCCGTGTTTGTTTGACTATTTCTGGTTTGTGAGAAGAATAGATTTACTTGCATTTGTTCCAGCACTGCTAAGTACAATGTCGCCACATTTCTGCCAAAGTTTCTGTTTGAGCAGTTTCGCAGATACGCCAACATTTTCTTCCTATTCATTGCACTGCTTCAGGTATTTCTTATTTATACTCACTACTATAAAAGGATTTAATTAAAAATTATTGTGCAACCAGTGCATCAAATCAAAAATAAGCACTCAAATCTAGAGAAATAATAATGTTTATGTATAGAGTGTAAATGTTTACTTGTAAGCGAACTTGCAATCAACGTGTATGTGTAACATTTAAAGTTCATAACACACACACACACACACACACACACACACACACACACACACACACACACACACACACAC